ACATGCAGAATTTACATTAAGCAGAAGTGATTGTTTCAGATAAGAGCAAATAAGGGGGCATTTTGTTGTTTCCCCATTTATCCTGCCTAAAGGGCAGTAGCAAACCATTAGCTTCAAACCTTGGTACCTTGCGATTTGTCCATAGATCAAAAAGACATGCTGGCTAGAAGCCATCTAATCTCCATCATAACAATAAATTGTGGAATTATTATCAAGGTCAAGCTGCAGAGGCAAAAATCAAGTTAGACTCACTAGCTTAAGGATAGGTGTCACAGAGTTATCCCGTTTACCAGTAAAGTGGATACATGGCTTACATAGCATAGCCCAGTGGTTCTCAACCTTTTTTAGGTTGGAGGCATCCCTCAGAAAATCTTTTTTGAGTGCAGAAAAATAGAGCAATTTTTCTGTTGCAAAGAACTCAGGAAGACCACAAATATGGATTTCTGTTTGAAATCTCTAGGTTTATCTTGTGAATCATGTCTGCAAACCTAACAACGCTAAGATCATATGGCATCCTGCAGGACTCTTGAAAAGCTCTCAGGACATACCAGGGTATGATCATACTCTGATTGAGAATCATTCTCATAGTCTAATGGGGACTCAAGGACAGAATAACCAGTCAGATCATAGCTAGGTGGAGATGTGTCATCCTACCATACATAAGTTTAAAACACACAGACAGTGGATCCATTTGGCAATTGGAAAATTATCCTGCTTGCCAAGTGAGTGGTTAATTCTTTTAGCCCATTTAAATCACGGACAGTATTGTGCTTAATACTTTAAGTCTGAAACTGTGTAGGTCCTACCGATTTCAAAGCTATTAGAGGTATCATCTTCTGAGTAACAATATATCTAGGCTTAATGAGGTATAAAAGCTGTTCCCACAATAATTGGAAGGCACACTTAAGTTAGTACAGATAGAACCTTTAGTAATGACAACAATGGGATTTGGCAAGTGATTAATGCCATTTGCACAATTCATACAATTACCCACCTTTCCAAGGGCTTGTATTGTAGTCCCAAGTGATAGGCCTTCATCCTGCAAAGGAGAGCAGAACATCCCACATCCCAGTTAGTGTTTAACACCCAGGCATCCTAATAGCCAGACATACTCACAGACTTTTTGGGCACCTATACACGTGGATCAAGGCTGCAACGTGCTGTAATTATAACGCGTTGTGTCAGAGCAGACTCAGTTACCAAGTAATTACCATGCTTCAGCAGACTCCAGCATTATGTCTGTCAGCGTCCCTATGCTGAAAAATGGTGGCGGGGGTGCTTTAACTAAAGCTCGTTCGGCAAGTTTAGTTTTTCAGTCACCCACCATTTAGTTTTTCAGTCACCCTCACAATAACACTTAGACTCGGACCTTTAACTGCAGTACCAATTGTCTTGTCACATACTGCAGTCTCTATGTCAGTCTTCATGTATGAGAACAGCTCGTAACATTACACCAGCTTAGAAAACACCTTGTCCTGAAACTGATATCTCCCATTGTGAGAGCAGCCATTGCTAAGTGGTCAGAACCTGCATCAGAAAACAGAAGTTAAGAACCAAGCCAGGGTCAGTAACCAGTTGAGGAGTCTGGGGCTAGGGAGCTTAGGAGTCAGGGTTAGAACAGGGTGACAAAACTCAGAAACAGGCAGAAAAACAGCAATTTATCAAGAACTGAGCAGCCCAGGCACAACTGAAAAGACCGGGTTTTTATCTTGGGGCCCATTTGCCTGCAGCCAGCAGGAAAATCATGCACAGTTAGAGTCAATCCAGGATCAAACAGCTCAAGTCAGGCTTTAAACAAGGTGCAGTCCTAACATTCTTTCTTATCTTTCTTATCTTAAAGGGATAGAAATTTCATATAAAATAATGTCTTTTAGACATGTTTTTTGACCAGTGCTCCTTTATTTGCAATGAGTTTAGGGATGTTGCTGCATTATTAATGTGTTGAGGTGCTATTTTAATAACCACTGTGTTAATATTTTCACTTGCCTTGAATAGTTCTTTTGTATTCATAATTACTATAAGGCTACTGCATTTTTTCTGTATATAATGGTGCTTTGCTAAAATAATTCATCAGTTAATTTATTATTATAATTTACTCACATACTTTTGCTTTTCTCTATTGCTTTTCTCTCTCTTATTCTGTTCATAAATAATAAATACATTTAGATGTATTGACTTATAGTTCCCGGGTTATTGTTTCAGGTGTTCTAATCCATCTCAGCTAAGAGAATGCTTAACTTGCTCCCCAAGGGATGTTCCCTTAGCCAAAGGCTACTATATTTTCTACAGATAATCCACGACAAGGGAAGTTTGAGGTTGAAATAAAGATTGTAAAGTAGGATGATTGCAAGGTGTTGAATACATACATTGTAGGTAACTGTGTGCTGGAACTGAAAGCTATTGTACACTGTAGCTGAGGAGTTCTAACATGTCTGGGGCTGGTGAGTTTGTATAGGGCATATGAATGGATGTCAGTATTTGCTGGACTGGTGATTTCCTTTATTTTGAGTAATTGTGTTCATAAACATATGCTTAAACAAGTACCTTGAAGTTAGGTTACATTAATATAGAGAAATAAACATCAGCAACAGAGCAGAAAAGAAATCCTATATATCTTTAAAAGGAAGCTCAAAGACAATTCTGATGATATTGTATTCTAGAGAAACACATTTATAAAAATTTGCCATCTTAAAGATTCACATTCATTGTCTTTTGCACTTGATAATCACAGCTAGTGAGGTGAGACTTTTTTATATGAAAGCTGCATTGGTTTCATCTTGGGTAAATACTTGGGCACAGATCCAGTTTTACTTCCTTACCGCAATAGTGGCACTTAGAACAATCATAGCTGACCAAGACATATAGCAGAATCTTTTCCAACCCTACCTTTATCCTATCTACAGTGAATAAGTGTGGTAAGACAGCCACTAAAATGAAATGATCAATGCATGGGATACTTAACAGATCTGCATATACTTGGATTCTATTTAATAAGTCCACTTCACTGCACTGATCCTGTCTTATGCCTCATTGTGATTCAACTCCTTTTCTGCATATCACCTAATTCATCTAGTTGTGATCAGTACACCAGAAGGACTTAACTACTCACTGCAGGTGTTCCCAGGTTGCAATATACCCTTGCAGAGATGTGCACTACCAGTGCCAACCCCCATTTAAGGGCATTTGAAAGAAGCAAAGAAGTGTACAAGTGTAGGGCGAGCCTAAGTTTGAGACTGAGAAAGAATCAGAGAATTCCAGGCTAAAAGTGACATCATGGGTCATTTATTCCAACCGTTTGTACAAATGCAGGATCCTATACAATCCCTGAAAAATACCTATCCAGCCACTTCTTGAAGATTTCCAGTGAAGGAGATTCCATAACTTCTCTAGGAAGCTTGTTCCATTGTCCTACTGTTCTGACAATAAGGACATTTTTTTCTGAGATTTGATCTAAATCTCCTTTATTGCAGTTTAAACTCATTGTTTTATGTTATGTCCTGCCCTTTGCAACAAGGGAAAACAATTAGGACTCATTCTCAACCTCTGTCAGGGCACCCTTCCATAACTTTTTAAAATTTGATGGCACCCCTGTTGAGAACCACTGTTGTATGGACCCAGTTTACCAGACAACTCCTTAGTCAATGAGAAGTTTATTGGACTCTTTAACAGTTTCCTTTTTCCACAACAGCACAATTGTCTCCTGTCCACACTCATGTTAAAAAATTAAAAACAACCCCTTCTCTCCCCAGTATTTCGGTCACTTATACAAGACATTCTCAGGGAGTGGCTATGGAATTACTTCTGATTACACCATATTAACTGAGGTAGGAATGAAGCCTATACAGCTAAATATAGTGCTGGTCTACATTTTCTGTTTGTGAGACACTCCCATTAATATGAAGACAAGGTTCCTTGGGTGAATTTGATATCTTTTATTAGACCAACCCAAATAGTTGGAGAAAAGTTATTAA